GCTTTGAGGAGTTGGGGAAGAAAAAGAATTAGAGGGAAAAGATGAGAGCCAGACCCAGCTCTGACCCACTCCTGCCTACTATTTTGTACTCAGCACAAGGACAGGAAGTGTGTCCCCCTTCTGCCTAAGCAGATTGGGAAAGATAACTTTGTTAGCAGGAGAAGGCCAGGCTGAGGGGTCGTGCTCTATAGAATTGGCACAATCTGCTCTCATGCATGAGCTGCTCTGTTCAATAGTAAGCCCTGCCCTGCCCTGACAACTCATCTGGGCTGAAAATCCTCTCTCGAGTGAAAAGGCCCCCAACTCCCCCCTCCAGCCCACCCTTTGCCCCTCAGGGCACGGGAGCCCTTGAACTGCAGCCAAATGGTCATGATGAAGAAGAATCCCTGGCTTACCACCAAATCAGCCAGGGAGGAGGAACACAATGAGCCATGGCTCACCTCCTGGTCCTCACGTGGCACAAACAAGTAAAAGCAAGCATTGATCCCTATGCTGGTGAAACAAGGAACCCTTGACCTCCCTGTGGTAGCCAGAGCTTCCTCTTAATAATGGCAATAGCTGCTACCATTTATCAAGTGTTCACTCAACTAGTGATAAACTGTTTTACACACAGTTTTATTTAATCACTGCAACTGTTTGAGGCTGCCGCTGTCACCCATTTCCACAAGGTCAAGAAAAATGAGGTCACGACAAGGAAACTTCCTGTGCAAGGTCAGGCAACTCATTAGCAGTGGGACTGAAGCCATCTAACTACAGAGCCTGGCATTAACCACTTCGCTATTCAAATTCCCATGAGACCAAACTCCGGGATCCAAGGTTCAGTGTGATGGGTGGTCCAGAATCTCCACCCTCTCCTACCACCACCCCCGCAGAAGGAAAAAGAACACCCGGTTTTCTCACACTCCATGTGCTCAGTATCACCATGGGGACTGTGACTGACCTGTGTTCCTAGATGCTTAACAGAAGTCTGCGGTACGAAGGAAGGGCAAAGCTGCATATTGGATGCTGGGTAGTGATGGATTTTTAAAGATGTGCAGGTGAACAAACCATACACAGATAAATCAAGAAATAAAAGTTACATTTCGCAACATATATTTTCCTTGCTCATTTAGTTTCAGCCTCTAAGAGGTTGCTCCAATCCTTCACCCTAATGACTCCCTCTCTCACTTTCTTTTAAATCTGTTCAAGATCACCTGTCAGCAGCAGCTATCTGAACACCACCTCCCCTCCACCAGCCCTCCTACTCCCCTCACCCTGCCATACACTGTCATCTTGGATAGCATTTCTAATATACTACACAACTCACTCATTTATTTGTTGAATGCTCATTGTCTGTTTCTCTACAACATGAGCTCTGATACGGCAGAGTTTTGTTTTATTCCCTGATGTGCCCCAAACATCTTAACAAACACTTGCATGAATCACCAAACACTGCCCAGTAAGTGACAGCAGGGCCAGAAATCCTGGGAAAGTGACCCAAAACTCCCAAGCTCCAGGACCTGTGTTTCTCATAGACTTATCCTTCCTTGCTCAGGCCAAAGCTGAAAGAGAGAGATTATGTATCTCCTAATTCAAGTCACTACTGGATGTGGTTCCCTTAAGCCCCTTAAATCTTTCTGCCCTTCTACTCAGTCAGGGACACCTGGCTTTGTCTACAGAGTTTTGTCAGCTGAATGAGTCTATGGACCATATATATGGGCACCAGAGCTGTAGAAAGCACGTGGGACATGCAGCTGTATCCTAACTTTAGACCTAATTTCCACTCTAAGCCTATTTCTTCATCAATAAAATGAGGGAATTGAGGCTAATGATCACCTCTAATCTTTCTCAGTGATGACATTTTCTCATGGAAAGGGAGAGAGTGTGACCTGAACTAGACAGAAGCAAACCAACCTGTAACTCTGGGGCACAGGACAAGTTATATTCAAGGGAGGAGATCTTAGCAAATATAATTAACAAGCCAAAAGGGATCTGCACCATACTGCTTGCACAAAACAGGAAAGGCAGTTACTATTATCTGTTTTACAGATAAGAAAACCAAGCCTCATGGAAGCTAAATAAGATTCCTACAAACAGGAAGCAGAAGAGCCATACCAGTGTCAGGTTTTCCAACTTCAAATCCACAATGCTTCTATACATAATTGCCTCACTTCCAAAATAAATCCCGATAGAAGAATGCCACTATTAGATGACCCAAACTGTCAAGAATCTAGTAATCTACTCAGACTTTTGCATAATATAAAGTTAAATTTGAATTGTATTATGTCTCATATTCTAGAGATTTATTTATTTGCATCAAATTATGCAGTACAAACACCATGAGACGCGATCTCTCCAAAAGACCTGCTAAACTAATTCTGAGTAGGAATGAACAACTTAGCTCTCAGTGACAGCTAAAATGAGCCTCTCTCTGTGTTTCTCAAAACTTTTCCCAAGAAGTACACAATTAAGTATTAATATTTTCAAGGACTTTAGGGGTGCAAACAATCAACCACAAAAATAATTCAATCAATTGGGTCCCATTAAAGTATCTTCAATGTCAACAGAGTAAATAGCCAAGAAAATACTAAGTTAGAAAGCTAGATTTAGCCAATGGCAGCCATGCACCCCAGGAAGAGAACTGAGAAGAAGTTAACCCCTTCCTGTGAGCCAGTGGAGGTTGTGGGCTGGGCCAACCCATTCCTGTGAGCCAGCCTGTGTAGGGCCTGGGAGATAAGAAGTGTAAAGCCCTACCCACCCACTCCTCACCCTCCACCCCCACAAGCAACTGACTTATTGAGAGAAACAGGCTGAGATGATAGCCACTGAAGTAAAAACACAGCTTCATGACTGTATTGTTTGACTGACTTTGCAGACCTAAAACCAATAGTCTTGAGCATCTACTTTAGAGGATAACAATATACAATATAGCAACTACGGGGGATTTCATTCTGAAGATGGTATCCATTATTAATCCCCTATTACCTTATTTTAAAGTATTGTATCATTTTCATTGTTTTGTTTTTGTTTTTTGGTCTTTTTTCATTTTTATCAGTACCAGGAATCGAACTCACGACTGCCTGCTTGCAAGGTAGGCACTTATGCCACTGAGCTAAATCCCTTTTTATTGTATGTGATGGCATGGGCAGCTATTTGAAATGTAGCAAGATATACTATGGTAGCCATTGTTGATTTCCTATTATCTTGTTTTGAAGTCCTATATTGCTTTGTTTTGTTTTGATTATTGATTCTGTTCTGTTTTGTTTTGTTTTATTTTATTTTGTCAAATGATATGGCAGCTATATTGAAGATAACAAGAGGAAATACGGAAACAAGAGGAAATAGCTATATTTGTTTCCCTATCACCTTGTTTTGAAGTCCTGTATCACTTTCATGGTTTTGTTTTGAATGGCTTTATTCTGTTTTATTTTGTTTGGTTTTATTCTCTTTAAAAGAATAAAGAAAAAGAAAAGAAACCTAGATTTGTCCAAAACTGAGAGACCATGATTAGATCAGAGCTATGTAGGCATACTGTTTGTCCAGACTAGAAAACCTTCCCTTCTACTCTTATAAAATGCTGCCCAAAAAATGACAATAATTAAATGATGCCAAGAGACCAGCTACCACATTAACCAAGTTGGACTAGGAAGACCTACAAGGAAAAGTTCATTTTGAAAACAAACTTTGTAGATTCTGGAACCTCTCAGGGAAAGCAGTTTCAAGAGCCAATATGTACTGAATGCATTCTCAAAAGAAAGAATGATTAAGTTTCTTCCCCTTCCTCCTCTGGCTTTTTATCTCTTCACACTGAACCATCTGTTTCCAGCTGAGGGACTCCCTGTGAGGCATTGTCCCAATCAATGTGGGCTTTCAAACTTGGGAGATCAAAAGATATCAAAAGCCTAAAGTAAACAGAGTTGTGAACTAGCAAACATTTTAATAAAAATGGACCTTGAGACTCACAATGGTACTATCCTCCTTCAAATTGTCACCATCAAAATGTAGTACACCCATGACACTACAGATGACAAGAAATAGCAGAAGTGGTGCCACAAACATTTAGATATTTTTCTTGTCTGATTTACACTCAGAGTTGTCTTCAATTTAGTAATTGTAAAATTCAGATTTTCTGAAACAATCCAAGTTTCAACTATTTTTGCCCCAATTTTTCACAAGTAAACTTGTAAAATAAAATATCCAACTTTTCATTTGGAAACTGTCAAAACATCTGTTTTTTTAATACCAGTATGATAGTCCCACACAGTAAGAACCTCAGTGAAAAGTTCTCGGAGAGAATATGTTCATTCTTCCTAAGCATCATTCCTCATCATAGCACCTGGGCATTTCATTCAAGAGCCTCTTGGAGACTGAAAGCATCACAGCCCCATTTTATGGGAAAATGATAGCTGATACTTCATAGTTCACTTGATTCAACTGCAGCTTCTCAAAAATATGTGTAATTATGAGCAAAACCTAATCACGAATGTTACTTTCATAAGCAGCATCAAAATTCTTCCTCTTCAGAGAGGAAGACTGCATAGCTACATTTTTTGAGACACAAGAGCAAACCACCAGCGGAGACTAAAATGTTTCTTTCCAAAAGGGTCAGCCATTCACTTTCAGTCTGATTTGGGGCAAAAGGTTACACATAGGTGACTTCTTACTGTCCCTATATCATTAGAATTCTCTAAGATTATTATAAGGCCCTAAAAAATACCCCCTTGTTCATGCCCACTAGAGAAAAGCTGAAGGTTTCCTGCTGCACAGGGCCAATCTGCTTCTGCTAAAAGGAACTTTTGGAGGCTGCAGAAGGCCCATGTAAGCTTTCACATCAGCTTTACCCTACCCCTCCTCCCTCAGTGCCCAACACAGCTCTCCCATTCTCTCCATCCTATTGTTTTACAAACATCCCTCCCTTCATAAAAGCTGTCTGGCTGGGAGCTTAAAATATTGCTGGACAGTAAAACCTACCCATCAGGGCCAATCCAGTCATATCTGCTCAGTCGTGCAGCACAGGAGGGGCGGGGTAGAGAAGTGGGAGGTGGGCTTTTAGGTGGCAAAGGAAAGACTCCAAAGTTGCCATTTTGCTGTTGAGCACCAAGAGAGAAAGACAGTACCTGTTTCTCCGTGGGACAACACTCATACTGGCAAGTTTTCTTTGGGTGATGTTAGTTTGTAACTTTACCCTCATTCTTTTCCAGCCAAATTTAAGGACCGTACCACAGGTTTTCTAAAAGGAAAAATACTGCCACTAAGGCTTACTCTTGGTCCAGGATGGCTGGACTTTGAATCTAACTCTAAAATCTCTCTTGGAATTGAAATAAGAGTTGATAGAAGTTTATGAGTGCTGGAATATTTGGAAAAGGGCAAAGATGTTCAAACTAAAATTAGAGGTCTTTTTAAGGTCTTCTGATTTTTAAGATTGAACTAACATGTCTCCAGGAATTCAGAGAAAACTAAACCAAGTATCTAGTTTTTTAGTGTGTTGGACGTTTTTCACGCAAACTCTGCAATATGAGTGAGTGTTATAACTGCTAGGTGCCGTGGGCGTAGAGGAAGCCTCCCACTCAGTATTTTGACTGTTAAAGCTTTTAATGGAGTACAGGAATAGACTGGTTAAGAATCATAAACCTTTAGTGAGTAAGTTCTGTTCGCCTACAAGAGCTGTTAGTCAGTGGCTGTTTTAGAAACAAGAATGGAGGTGTGTTTACACTCCTCTAACAACCAGAGCGGTAAAAGGCATCTAATGCTTTGAGAAACTTGTTAATATGGATTTATCTACTTACATAGGTTCTTGTACCTCGTCAATAAGACTACGTTATACTGGAAATATCCCTGAATCTGAAGCAGGAAGACCAGGGATTACATAGTGGCTCTGCCCTCACTCACCCAGCCACATAGGGGACTCATTTAACTTCCTTTCTAGCCTGTTCTTCTCTGCTATTAGGGGTCACTAATGCTCCCTCAAATACCCATCAATGGTTCTGTCAGTTCTGGCTCAAAATGGAGTTTTTATCACTTGTGATAAAAATGTGACAGTAATGAAGTAAACAAGATAGCAAATTTTTACTGTTAAATTTATTCAATTTAAAGACCTGCATTTTGTTCTGAAATTATGCCCATCCTAAGTTTTATAGTATTAAAATCCCCTTTTGTGAAATGATGGTGAAGACAAGCAATAGTCATTATGCAATGACCTAATGTTTATTGTTTTTATGTCCCTGTTTAGCAAAATAAGGAGTCAGCAACCTTATGCTGGTCACTGTGTTTTGTTTTTATGCTAGTCTGTGCAATCCAAATCTCAGAATCATTGACCTGATTCATAGCTTGTTATAAAAACTGAAAGACCATATACAAAAGTGTATCACTATAAGACAAAAGAATACCCCAATGTGATGCGCTATTTTAATCATTATCTCCAGTCATAATTATCTGAATGTTCTTAGGAATATATGGACACCCTTGGTTGGAGGGTTGAACTCTTTTGGTTTATTTTTCATCTGTAATAAATCTGTTCACTAAATTTTCACAAGCAAAATAAAAGTTGTCTCTTTAAGGAAGAGAAGAGAAAAGTCCTCCTTTGGTTTAGATTTCTCCCCATTCCAGGAGAATACCTTGCTACTCTGATCCGCCTGCCTTTATATTTTCTCTATGCATGTTTTCCATACATAATTATTACATTTATTGTAGCGAATTGGTCCATGTACATAACACATTTCAGTTTTTCCCCCTTCCCTCTAACTCGCTTTTATTTTTCCACCTTCAGATTCATTTATTTATCTTATGAATCATTAGTTAATTATCATATATACAGATTAAAAAGCAGAATAATCGGTATAAAATACAAAACACATCAGAGAATTGTACTAAGTCAAGGTGCACTTTTAGATAGAGTACATTGTCCACATTAGACTACAATAATTTTCTCTTTTTTCCTATTGTCTGACCCTTATTTTCTATCATCTTTCATGTACATATATATGGAAATTATTCAGCTTTTCATGTAAGAGAAACCATGTGATATTTAAGCGTGTGTGTCTAAATTACTTCACTAAACATTATGGTCTCAAGGTGCATTCAGTTTCCTACAAATGACTCAAGTTACAATTTTCATTGTTAGAAGTCAGAAACTAAAGGTGCTTTCCCTTTGCACCTCTGAAGTCTCTCTCTGTCTCTCTCTGTCTCTCTCTCTCTCTCTCTCTCTCTCTCTCTCTCTCTCTCTCTCTCTCTCCTCTCCCTCCCCCCTCCCTTTCCCTCTCAGCTGGAGACTGATTCCAGAGCCTTCATACTAAGCTATACTCCCAGCCTTTTTTATTGTATTGAGACAAGGTCTTGCTAAGGTGGGACTGACTTGACCTTCTAATCCTCCTGCCACAGCCTCATGGTAGGCCTGCTTTGTTGTCCCTGTGTACTCAGGTAAAGAGTGTTTCAGATCTTAAAATGATTATTATCAGTCCCACACTCTGGTGTCTGTGGATGTCTCACACTGTGAAGTGTTTTGTTCTGTATGATGATAGCTCATGGTGAATGAGCCCAAAATGGTTCCTGCCTTCCAGAAGCTTTTGATTCTAAAGGAGGAAAGGTATTTGACATATAGTTTTGAGAACATGTGTTCACCACAAACATTTATGTGGCTACAGTAGGGAAATACTAAAAGGAAACCATAAAAGGACTAACAATGTACCATACAAGTAAAAGTAGATCCAATTGATTTGATATCATGGGGAGGGGGTAAAATATTAGCAAGATGCAAAGTTACATAAGATATTATTAGTAAAATATTAGACGTTCTTCCAATTTAAAGCAGTAATAATGAAAATTTAGGATACATTAAAGCCAGATTTAATCTTATAGGAGAAAATTACTAAAATCATGGTTTTTAACAAATTTTAGATTAAACTTTTTGGCTCTGCCAAACATTTTCCTGGATCTGCCACCAATGGGCTTTGTGCTTGAGTTGCTTACCAAAATATGATGCTTCCTACCTGCTTTCTTGGATAGGAATGACTGCCACTCTTTATACAACGTGCGAGGTTTAACTGTAGTTTGAAAGCATTAGAAGTGTGCATCGGCTAAGAGTCTGAGGTGCTGGTTCTGAGTAGAGAATCCCCCACTGATACTCCATTCCTCATTCCTATAAGGAAGTCTTTCCAATGCCAGATCATATTTGCAGATACCACAGCTGTCTTCACTGTCCCAGGAGAACAGAAGCTACTTTAGGACACCTTGTCCAACTGGGAGCTCTTGGGGCTCCAAAGGAGGATGCACTCTGCTCTCCAGAGGAAGTAGACAGACCACATGTACACCCAGAGAGCTGGACACTGCCTGTGCCTTCAGTTAATGCCCTGTCACCAGGCTGTCTAGCCAGACTTCAGATCACAGGATGGCATTTTGTTTATCCTTCCCTCAAAATGAAAAACAGACTTAATTTAAGATACAGCTTTTCATCACATGCCTGTTTAACAAATATAATTGTCATTAAAAGCAGTGAGCATATCTCTGAGCCCCATGGGTCCCTGATCCCATAGGGTGGAGCACAGCTGGAAGAAGCCAAGAGGAGGATCCTCTAACATGGCCTTTTGCCTTGGCCTAAGAGCAGTAAAGAGTAAATGCCGGGGCTGGAGGTTTAGCTCAGCGGCATAAGCACCTGCCTTGCAAGCAGGCAGTTGTGAGTTCGATCTCCGGTACCCATAAAAAGGAAAAAGACCAAAAAAAAAAAAAGAATAAATGCCATAACTCTAGGAATATTCAGGTTAGAGAAACAACTGTGCTAAGTTGAGGTGTAAGTCTCTTAGCATATTCCTTCACGGACTACCTGTTTGCACTGAGGGAGTGATCCAGTTTTCACATACTCTCCCTGCCAATTCAATCCTGTTTCCAGTAGCCATTGCTGTCTAGCAGCATTACATTTTACCATATTTAGCGGCAGGTTTTCTGAGATCAGACTTTTATCTCTATTAAGATGACCAAATGGTGTAGTTCCTGCAATCTTTTCATTCTATGAGGCACTAACTGTGCCCTAGTAGTCTTTCCTCATTCTGTAACGTGAAGCTCTCCTGGAGCATTCTCCATTCTCCCTATTTAAAACAGTAATAATGAAAATATACTGTCCTGAATTTGTGAAACTGTTAAGAAGGGTTTCCAGATTTTAATCTTGAGAGGAGAAAACATAAATGAAGGGCACAGAAGCCAGAAAATTTTTGTCATTCTGATTTCAGGCAGTATTTCTCAGTGGTATAATAAAATGTCCAGCCTCTGGGATCAGATACAGCGCTGTTCCTGTTTAGCCATCCTGTCTTACACTACCTACTGAGCCTCTTAGAACCTCAAGTTTCTCATATGTTGTAATCAAATTAGTTAAGAAATATTATTAAGTTCTGCGTGCTGGGCAGCGTACCAGGCAATGACCATACATCAGTAAAGAATACAGGCATGGGCCCTACCATCATGAAGACTGCAGTGTAGCAGGACTACATGAAGTGAAATAACATATCAAAAGTCATTCCTACATATTTCAATAAATGTTAGGTGTCTTCCACTTATTTCCCTTCAGACACATGATCATTATATATTTCAGCACTGTCAAAAATCAAATAGCTACAATTTTATACATACATGAAATTTGTTGGGGGGGGATTAGTATGAGGGTTTTTTTTTCAGCATTTTGTCTCATAAAACTTTAGTCAAAGTGCGATCTTGATTTTCTTCTGTGCTCTTGATTTCACTCCAGGTAACCATGGGTTTCTAAGTATGGTCCATAATAAATCATTTTTGCTGAAGTTCAAGGAATTTTGCAGATATTGCCTCATAGATAGTTTCAGGCAAAGTGAGTAAGAACAGGTATTACTATTAAGTCCATTTTACACTTAAAGAAGCTCGTGGACGTAGATTCTTCTATCCCCTTGAGCTTCCTAGTGCTAATCTGCTTGACAGTTGCAGTCCGTATGTTGACTGTTCAACAACCCAGAATAGAGAGGGACCACAAGAGTAACAGAGATCCACTCGGAACTGTACTGTGGCTGCTCAGCTTTGTCTTCTCCTTCCTAGGTGGTGAACAATGGGTGACTGGAGTTTCCTCGGAAACATCTTGGAGGAGGTGAATGAGCACTCCACAGTTATTGGCAGAGTCTGGCTTACTGTGCTTTTCATCTTCCGGATTCTCATCCTTGGCACTGCTGCAGAGTTTGTGTGGGGGGATGAGCAGTCTGACTTCGTCTGCAACACTCAGCAGCCCGGCTGCGAAAATGTCTGCTACGACGAAGCCTTCCCCATCTCCCACATCCGCCTCTGGGTCCTGCAGATCATCTTTGTGTCCACTCCATCTCTGATGTACGTGGGACATGCTGTGCATTACGTGCGCATGGAGGAGAAGCGGAAGGACCGCGAGGCAGAAGAGCTGTGTCAACAGTCCCGGAGCAACGGCTGTGAGAGGGGCACGCTGGCCCCGGATCAGGCCAGCATCAGGAAGAGTAGCAGCAGCAGCAAAGGCACCAAAAAGTTCCGGCTGGAAGGGACTCTGCTGAGGACCTACATCTGCCACATCATCTTCAAGACCCTTTTTGAGGTGGGCTTCATCGTGGGCCACTACTTCCTGTATGGTTTCCGGATCCTGCCCCTCTATCGCTGCAGCCGGTGGCCCTGCCCCAACGTGGTAGATTGCTTTGTGTCCCGGCCCACTGAGAAAACCATCTTCATCTTGTTCATGTTGTCTGTGGCCTCTGTGTCCCTCTTCCTCAATATCATGGAGATGAGCCACCTGGGTCTGAAGGGGATCCGGTCTGCCTTCAAGAGGCCTGTAGAGCAGCCACTGGGAGAAATTCCTGAGAAATCTATCCACTCCATTGCTGTCTCTTCCATCCAGAAAGCCAAGGGTTACCAGCTGCTAGAAGAAGAGAAAATCGTGTCCCACTATTTTCCTTTGACCGAAGTTGGGATGGTGGAGACCAGTCCACTTTCTGCCAAACCTTTTAGTCAGTTGGAAGAGAAGATCAGCACAGGACCCCTTGCTGATGTTTCCCGAGGTTACCAAGAGACACTGCCTTCTTATGCTCAAGTGGGGGCACAGGAAGTGGAGGGAGAGGAGCAGCCTGTAGAGGAGGCAGCAGAACCAGAAATGGAAGAGAAGAAGCCAGAAGCAGAGAAGGTGACCTTGGAAGTGCAGGAGGCCCTGGCAGAGCCAGATGGGGAGAGACCAGGGACCCCTGGAGTGGGAAAGGAGGGTGAAAAAGAAGAGCTTCAGGCTGAGACAGTAACCAAGCAAGGGCTGTCAACAGAGAAAACACCTTCATTGTGTCCAGAGCTGACTGCTGATGACACCAGACCCCTGAGCAGGCTGAGCAAAGCCAGTAGCCGGGCCAGGTCAGATGATCTAACCATATGAAGAAAGGAAAAGAAAAAGAGAAAACCAAAAGAAAAAAACCTCCCACCCCCCAGCTAATCTAGGGCAACATAAAACCAAAAAAGGTGCCAACATGCTTTGAGCGTGCTGTCCCCTCCAGTTCTCTACCCCTGATTGGACAGATGCTGCAATGAAACAGGGCATGCTGTGCAACTAGGAAACTGCCTTTCCTGTATTTTAAGGGTTACCAAGGTAAACACATTGTTCCCTCAAAGTTCCCAGTCTCATACGACTAGCCTGTTCCTCTATCCCAACTCTCTAGGGGATATTGTTTTCCTTTCCATTTCTCCATGGAAATTCTTCCAATCAGAACGGCAAGAGGCAGCTTACCTTAGACCCTTTTACCAGTCTTGTCTCAAGCTCATTAATTCAGACAAACTGTATGGCCCCAGCATTACTCTTGCAGATACTATGTGATCATAGACCAGGGATCACAAACTCAATTGCCTATATGATCCCATAGCAATCAGTTTAAATTGGTGAAGCAGGCCTGCTTTAATGTAGTGGAAAGGGCCAGGGCCATGAAAATTGAAGATTGGGGAAGCCACTAGCCGGTTCTAGGTCATAATTACCCTGAAGTGTTATTCTGCCATCTGATTTTTCAAGCAAAGTCACAAATTCAAAGTTTTCATTGAAATTTCCAAAAAAATAAATGTTGGCAACTATTTTAAATATACCACTTGGGACAAATAAAATTTTGTGTCCTAGCCAAATTTAACTTGTGGGGTACCAGTTTTCAAGGTTAGCTTACATTAATGAGCCCAGTTTTCCTGCAGAGTTGGTAACATTATCTACAGCCCCGACTTATATATGTGGCTTCTAAGCCTCATGTTACCACTTCAGAGTCTTTAGTTTAAAGCATCAGTTCAGGAGATGCTCAGGGTTCTTACTGACCTTTCTTTTAGTCACTGTAGCTCCTAGGTCCTGAAGCAATGATATCCTTGTTTGTAGAAGGAATTCTTCATGGCCACCTTCAGAGAAGTAGCAAGACACCAAAACTTGTCTCTGTGAAATTAAAAGGCTTTGAGCTTTGAGACTTTGTCATACTTTTCCTCCCTGAATTAACAATGACCCTTTTTTAAAGTTCTCCTCTTCCACCATCAGTGCTTATCCTGCAATCTGAATCTTTTATCAGGAGCTGGGAGCAAGGCCAGTTTAGAGCTGAAGATCACCTGATCAAGGGCTACCCTGAGCAGAGTCAGTTGTCAGGCCTTCCTTAGGCACAAGACAAGTACCACAATAGCCATCAGAGTTTCACTACGGGGGTGCCTATAAGCTGAGTACTCAGACAGTTAGGTTCTAGTCCCAGGCCAAACTATCCCTGAAAGAGAGAGAAAGGCATCTCATAAGCCCCTTCCCTGAACCCCCACGACTAATTCACCTCAGTATAGAGTCCAGTCAGGATAAGTCCTCAAGAACACGTACATAGTTTATACTGATACACTTTTACCTAAAACTGACCAATTTCCCATACAGACAGAAAGTAGGATGATTCATCTAAAGCAAAGTCATGCCTCATGTACTACAGTGCTGAGGATAGGGTAGTAGGCGTAGAAATCAAGTTTGACATGGCAGAGACCTGGACAAGAGACCATCAGGAAAAAAAAAAAAGGTACCCAGAAAACTGCTATTCTATCTTCTGCCCTGCCGCCACCATTCCAAAGTACGGAAGTCTCTTTCACTACATTCTGTGTATCGCCTTCCTTTTAACATATTCATTCTAGATGTGTTTTTCCAAAGCAAGCCTTCTCTAAAACTATTCCTCCCAATTACAGGCAATATTTCCCTTCCTTGATGCACCATTCTAAAGCAAAATGATCAAAAAATTAAATTCATTCTAAGGCATAGTCTACCGCCATACCATTCTGAAAGCACCCACTCTCATCCAAAACATAATCTTTTGATAATCACACCTAGGAAATTTTCATTTAAAAGAGAAAGTCTGAAATAAATTTTACCTGACACTCAAAATGACAACTTTCAATGAAAGATCGTGTAAACTATGGACAATTGAATAGAAGAGATATAGTTATCTTCTAGATATGTGACTTTCTGGCTACTCCTTGCAGGTAACATTATTTCAACACAAACCTTGACATGCTTGGTTGAGAAACATGACAAAATCCCAAGCCTGAGAACCAAAGAGTGCCTCCTTGACCCCAAAGGCTGAACTACTGCTCCTACAATTTCCTTCCATTTTAGAGACAGCCATCATGACCACTACTAGAAAATAAAGTGTCTATCTCAACTGTGAATACAAAACAGAAACTATACACTACTCTAAGTGAAACTGCAGGTGCTGTTTGGAACCAGTTCCAGAACTGTGAGTGAGGGCTACTGGTCTCCTTGTCTTGCTGGTACATAAGAGTGTGTGTCTTTCCTCAGAGGAAGCAGCCTGCTTCAGTGCTTATAACTGCTCTGCTCCACAACAAGTACTGTTTCTTCTCTTCGTCGTCCAAAAAAAGAACTGTTTTGAAAAACACTGACACAGGCATCAGGGACTTGGATTTTTTTCTATTTCTGCCTTTCGTAGCCATGTTACTATTGTCTCTTAACCTCTCTATACCTCAGTTTTCTGTCTACAAACTAGAGATGGCATTTACCACCTACCTACCTCCACGGGTATCATAAGGACTAATGAGTTGGCTGCCATGCCTGGAGCCTGCCAAGTGATGCCACTCCCTGAGAGATTCCTCCAATAGCAATAAGATTGAGAAGAAGGGCCTGTGGGTAATCTCCATCTTGCCCCTGTCGGCCTGCCTGACCATTACCTGGTGAGAGTTTTTCAATGTGGAATAAATTCTGCACATTGGTTTTCTCAGAGAAGACTCAAAACAAAATCTCAACTTTGTACGTTTAGTAGGAACCTGAGACTCTTTGACCCTAAGAAATTACTGAAGGTGAATTGGCAAATACTTTCATCCTCTGCAATAAGGAATAAGGTGGCCCATCTTAAGCTGCCAAACAGCTGCTGCCAGGGTCCATTTAGAGGGCGCTGCATATCTATGCTGTAGGCAGCTTCCTCTCAGCACTTGTTTTAAAAAAAAAAATTATGACTGATTTGGGGATTATAATCCCCATGGGATTCATTAAGTCTGGCTTCAGTTTCTGCTTCCTATCAGTCTCTTGTTAGATAAACCTGGAGAGTATATAGCCATACCAGTAAAAGCATACTATACAGCTGGACATCAGAAATGTGGCTCCTTCCAGAGAAGGACTAACCACTTTGTAGAAGTTATAGCATCTCCATCAGGAGAGATTTGTGACCAGGAGGGATAGAGTTACTCAAAGTTCACTTAGGAAATTTCAAGCTTGGTCACTTCTTTAAAAAAAAAAAAAAAAAAGCCATTTTTTCACCATTTATGACCCTTGTCATACAGGTGAAGCTTCCAAAACAGCATTGGATAAATGCTTCTCAAAGTTTATATGTGCTAGAGAACCACAAAGAATATTGATATTGGAATCAGGAGTGCTGGCTGCCCCTTACTGACACTGGCGATGCCAATCTGTGACTTGGCCACTCTATGTGACAATTTTCTTGCTATTATTTGGGAATAATAAAGTATTAGAGGTATTTTCAAACACTAATTTGGAAAAAAAAGGAAAAGACATTCTCCAAATTTATAAATCTGTATTGTACAATGTACACAAGATAAATCCATACAGTAAAATATACTCTTTTAAATACTGCACAGATTAACTAAAATAACGATTAAAAGTACGATAATATATAAAATGAGGGCAATAAAATTAGAGTAATCTGAATTCTGAGGATTATACTACAAACAAAGAACAAACGTGAGGATTAGTTGCTGGAGTGGTACTGAAGGTACTCAGCTTACCAAAGCCCATGGATAGCGATACATCAGCCTATGATAGACTCTGATTCACAATCTGAAGGAGTTCATGGATACTGAAAAAAGTGTCATGTACAAACTCTCACCCAAGCCATGTGGAAGCCCAACTACAAGACTGAAGCAGACTACATTCCTCTCTAATTTTTGAGGAGGGTTATTAATCCTCCATAGGGTAAAAATTAGTCCAAGATCCCAATAACATCTTCCATCCCACTACCCTAACCTGCTCATCTCTTTCTCCCCTGACCTTGAATTACTTTTCTATGCATATCATGTACAAATGATTGCATATCTCAAGTTAGCAAAGTCTAGATCAATAAGGTTTGCTTGGTTGGATGGAAAAATTGAGTGTAAATATAATCTGTAAAATATAGTGTGTGCCTCAAAGTAAGGGTGAGATAGACAGGGAGATTTTTCCCTTCTCTAAAATATTGTATTATAACTAAATATGTTCTTTGAGAAGGGAAGAAAACAAGGATTCTATTTCCAGCCATTTGGTTACAGAAAAAAATTATATCAAAGATAATTCACTCTCCATCGCCTTAGACGCTGAAGCTCCTAAAGCCAAGGAGAGGATGAGATTCAGATCTGACAGTAGCCAGGAAGTAGCCATGGGACATATTTTAGCCTCTAACCTCACCGTCTTTTAGAAGTTTTCCAAATTAGAAAACAAATTCTAAAAGAATTCATAAATTTGTCTGGAGAGAAAAGCAGATGGTCTCATTGCCTTTTCTGTACATTTTTCTATCTGAAAAATAAAGAGTAAAGATTCAGCTATAAAACGCATTCATAACAAACTTCATAGGGAAATCACTAGTAAAAGAGAGGTATTATTGGAATAGTGCCCCTATGTTTCCAGCCCTTCCCATTGGTATGTTAGAGCTAAGTTACATGTTAGACTGTTACAAAACAAATAAAACTAACTTGACTCTTAACTACCTTTGTTTTTTCTCTTGACCTATCAGGCAACGTAGACAGTAAAGAGACTGCCTCTCTTCCAGTTATTCTCCTGTTGGAGTTGAGGGCCTTGGAAAGGGCGGGGGGAGTAGTATATTGGTAAATGTATAACATCTAAATCTCTCCAGGCTACAGAAGTTCTTGGTATAATTTCTACCACCATTATCAATTTTGAGCTACATCACAGAATGCAGAGTTGAGAGATGTGCAGTAGTACTTTGTAAAGTTGCTCTACCATGCAGTGAATATGCAACGTACAGTAGATATAAGTAACCTCAGTGCTACAGATTGGGTTACCCCAAGAGAATATGTCATTTGAAGACTGGTCCCCAGAGTGGTGATATTGGGAGGTGCTGGGGCCTTTAGGAAGTGAGGCCTACTTAGAGGTCCTTAGGTCAAATGGGTTGCCAAAAGGAAGGTCTCATCTACCCACTGGTGGCAGTTCTCACCAAGAAAGTGGTCATAAAAAGAGTAAGGCTGGCCTCTCCTTCTCTCTGGTTCCTGACTTGAGATATAACTCTACTCCAACATGCTCCTCCATCTGCCATGATGCCCTTAGTAGAACTGAGCTGTGGCAAGTGACATGCCCTTGAACTTCCAAAATTATGAGATAAATAAATGTTTTGTCATAAATAGCCATGTCAGGTACTTTTTGTAGTGATAAAAAGCTGACTAATACAAGATGCTGAAAGTCATTTATAATAGCAAAATAATTAAGAAGCCGTAACTTTGAGTATTCATTACCTTTGTGTCTCATTTTTTAGTTCATATAATTTAATTACTAACAATACATATTTAACAACAGGGCCACAAAACTCCTGAAAATTTAGGAAGTGATTTGCTAGCCAGTACAAGCCAGCTGCAGTATACCACTAGTGGGATAGAGGCAACTCTGATTTTTGTTTTGTTTTGCTTTGTTTTGGTACCAAAATCACAACTTCACACTTGCCAAGCAGGTGCATATGCCGCTGGGCTAAATCCCCAGCCCACAACTCTGATTCGTAAAAGAACCTCTTTTATTAGTAGAGACTTGGTCAGTTTATTCCTCCATCTGTCTATACAACTTCAAGAAAAAAGTAAAGAGATACTGTTTAGCCTAGGGAAAGAAGCAAAATAATCATTTATTTCTGTTGTTTTCCAATGAGAACTTTAGAAAGAGTTAAATGTATTCATCACAGATAAAATACATTGATAGTTTAGTTAAATAAAATTTGCCAAAAGCCTCTGCCTGGAATTTATCACATTATCTACCTGCTCAAATTCCTTCAATAGCTCTTCGTTGCCAACCATAAAAATTCTAAATTCCTTGAACTTACAAAGCCCTTTATAACTGATCCCAAACCATCCAAGGAGGGTATCTGTTTTTGCCTATCCCCGAAATCCCCCTTCTTTTATAATTAGAGCTCTATTTTACCTTCAGGAAACTCCCTTTTTCAACTGGATATAGTCTTGTTGGACTCTTAGTCATATTTACTCAATTTCCCCTGGTTGAGGACCAGGTTTTTGTTTTGTTTGTTTGTTTGTTTTTATTTAAATGGGCTAAGGGAGGGGGATATAGATCAGCGGCATAGCTACTCCTTGGCAAGCATGAGGTCACAAGTTCTAGTCTCAGTACAAAAAATATTTGTATAAATAAATAAGCCAAGCACACTCCTTGAAATATGAATACTAGGTGAAGTAAGAGATACTGAAAATGAGTTAGAAATCATTCATCTTGATAGAAGTCCCTAAAAAAAACTAACAAATAGTTTCTACCCACCTAGATTTCCACGAGATTCCTTTTTTTCTCTTTTTATTATACTTTGGATTTTCAGGCTTCCTTTTATTTCCTAAGCTATTCTAGAGTTCCTTTATTTCCACTTTAACATAGCCCAAAATGATCTCTATTGTTTTCCAGTAACAACCCTAGATCAACACACCCCTTTTGTAGCCTCATTTCCTATATCTATCTATGTGTACATGTGTCTCAGTCTTACAGAAGTTGTTTGGTCCTCAGTATGAACAGTCCTGGCACATAACAGCTTAGGAATAACATGTTTCAGGACTCTGCTCTGTCATGTCTCACCATCACCACTAAGGTCAGTTCCTTCTCTTTTTTTTTTTTTTTTTTTTTTTTGTATTTTTACCGGTACCAGGGATCGAACTCATGACTACCTGCTTGCAAGGCAGGCACTTATGCTGCTGAGCTAAATCCCCAGCCCCTCCTTCTCATTCTTAAACACTCAGCTGCAATGTTCCCTTCTTTATGAAATTTCACAAACTCCAAGACAAAATTAGTCACTGCCTTCCTGTTATCCTTTCTGCTATAACACTTCATCAAATTGTTTTATTTACTGGCTCTTCTCATGTCTGACTGCAAGCAACTTTGATGCAGATTGCGTCCTATATAGCCCTGCATATTTAGTACTTCATAATGTTTTATTGAATGAATGAATGAATGAATGAATGAATGAATAAAAGAGCAAGCTAGGGAACATACACCACAGCAAGAAAGAGACAAGTGGCCAGGTACTCCCCAGAAAAAGAGAAGCCTGTCATTACATAGTAAAGAAGTTCCCCACTCCCTAAAATTTCAGGCTTGAACATAAGCAGATTTGATTTTGTCACCAAGGAAGAAAAAGAGATTTTATATGACTTGCTGGATGTTGTCACTGAGAGCAACCTCAAAAGCTGCATATTGAAGATGGCAGCCATATGTTAAGATGCTGTCACCAAGGCAACCTTAGAAGCCATCTGCAGAAGATGTCACTCTTTGAAGGACTGCAGATCAGAGGGCTTCCCATACCCACCAATTTCCACTAATTGGAATTTTAAATTTCACATGAAATTAAAAATAAATTTCTATTATATTAACTCCCTGAGATGTCAAGACTTATTTGCTATGGTGTCCTATTTATATAAATTGATACATTGAGGTTAGATATGTCTATAACAAAAACCTAAAACTTGTGGTCTTGGCTTCCATGAGTGATCACTGAAAATCAAAGGCTATAAGAATAGAGACCCAGTTTATACCATGAAAATATTCAGTAAAACTATCTGTAATGACTTACATATTTATTATTCATTACTGGGTAACAAATCACTGTGAATTAGTGACTAAAAACAAGTGTATATTATCCCCTAGAATATGTATAGGTCAAGAATTTTAGAGCCACTTGGAGGTCTCTGGTGAGGCTGCAATCAGACATTGGTAGGGCCTGCAATTATCAGAGATTTGATTGCAATGGAAGGACCCACTCACTCAATGGCTATTTGAATAGCAAGTTAATGTGGCAAGTTGATTCCACTCCATGGGTGGCTTGTTATTCTGGAACAAATGATCCAAGAGATCAAGACAAGTTTTAACATCTATAATGATCTAACATTGGAAGTCTTATATCATCATTTCCATTGTATTCTATTGATCATTTCCCTATAAAGAAAATAAACTAGAAATAACTAAGATTAAATTACCAACAAACAAAGAAAATATCAGGTAAAATCATACTTTTCCACATGATATTAAATCTCAGATAAAAGCCTGAACATCTATAGAATATTGAAGAAAAAATTATAAGCCAAGATGTCCAGAACAGGGCTGGAGGTTTAGCTCAGCGGCATAAGCACCTGCCTTGCAAGCAGGCGGTCATGAGTTTGATCCCCGGTTCCGATAAAAATGAAAAAGACAAAAAAAAAAAAAGATGTCCAGAACAAACCAAATTTCATGAGTGAAGTTACATAATTAAAAGTCATTGTCACTCATGTAAAAATTTAAATTATTCACAAACTCTACTTTAAATAAAAAATTATTTCATGAGGTAAGCATAGTGGCATGTGCTTATAATCCTAGTACTGCGGGGAAGCAAACACCTGAGGCAAAAGGATTGAGAGTTCAAGACTAGCTTGTGCTACATAGCAAAATCCTATAACCAAAAATTTTTTTCATGACCCACTCAAACTAAAAGAGAAAAGAATTTAATAAAGTATCTTCAACACAAGCAACCAGGCCCATGCTGGATGCAAAAGCAACCCTTCCCTGACGGGAGCAAGCAGGTTCTGTCCAAACAGGTGGTAGCCCTCCTCCAGCACAGGCAAGCAGGCCTGCTCAAGATGCCCTCCCAACACCATCACAAGGGCAAGACCATTCACAAATCCAAGCCAGCTCTACACTTTGCTTCCTCTTGACACAAGGCAGCACAGGCAAGGAGTAACTGAACACCCAATCCAGGATGAGGGCAGTATCATGAGAAACAAGGAAGCAACCACACCATGTGACCATCAACTTTGAGTCAAACTGTCCACTTGAACCACTGCACTACAGCCTACGTCCAGAAGAACCCAGAGAGTTACTTGCACTTCCCACCTTCCAACGGGAATAAGGACATGTTTTGGCTTGGCAGGAACCACAGTCTGGGGTGAATGAATAAATGGGCCTCTCTGATACAAAGAGAACACATCAAAAACCCAGATTAAAACCAGGTAGACAAAACTGTGACCCACTGTATCCCAAGATTAAAGATCTTAAAAAGAAACTATTCATTCAAACACCTAAGATTTTTTCTCTGACTCAATCTGATATTGATTTGACTATTTTTTATTATTTTTTATTTTTCCTCCATTGGGTTTTGGGGGGAAAATATGGTTTCATCTTTTGGTTTCTTGTTTCCTTTTAACTTTTTTTTCTCTTCTTCCTATCTTTATTCTGTTTCTTGTATTTTTCTGTTTATCTCTTGTTTCCCCCTCCCCACCGTCATCACCACACACACATAGCCACTGTTCTCTAACATTATCAGCTTGCTTTTATTGCACAACAGGACCTTTATGGTGTGTCAACACACTAGTCAGTTTGTATTTAACACTATAATTGATGCTAATTTTACTATTATAGCCAAGGTGACCTAGTTGTTGTTAATTGTTTTGTATGGGATGCTGATGGGGTCTTTAACAATACTGTGTCTTATTCCTGGGGAACTGGGTACTAGGTCAAATACACTGC